CTAAAGAGGTGTAGACCCATAACAATAACCCTCAGGAAGGCCGCTAGAGCAGAGGTCTCAAACGGTGCAGCTGTCAACTCATCAAACATTTTGTATACACGTTTTATAGTTGACAACAGAAAGAAGGGGGGGGCGGTTTTAAAGAGCAGGCGGCAGTGTGGAATCGAAAGGACATTCCATTCGTATTTTCTTCAGAGACTGATTCGATGTCTGAAGCTTCGGCCATGCAAAAATCTAATTGGAGAGCATGATTGATGACTCTGGGCTGTGGATGTGTTTCGTTGGATGAGATATCGAGGGGTGGGGGGGGTAAGCAGGATCAAGGGTGACAGCGAATTACGTATCTCAGAGTTGGCTCTGCCCGTGTTATAATGCCGGAGGTAGAACGTTAACTTCAAATAAATCCTCTTTAATTTCGGGAGTGCGGCTCGAAGACTCATGACTGAATTGGGGTAACTGCCGGAATCCTGACAGTGCCCACTGTCTCCTGCCTGAACGGAGAGTTAACCAAGACAGCCCCCACCCCAAAACCACCCCCACGCTGTGCTCACCGCAGCTGGGCCAGGAAGACCTCCATCGTGCGCACCATGTCCACCTCCACCGTCCTGGGCAGGGAGGTCTTGTTGGCGCCTTCGGGCTCAATGTTGTAGACCTGGCGAAAAGGGGCGGCAGCAGCTCAGAATGGAAGCGGAGCCTGTGCCCCCCCCCCCCCCTGCCCCCAAAGGCCCCCCCCCCCACTCTTTCTCCGCTGGCTTTTGCTGGGGCCAAAACCCGCTTCGACTCCCCCCCACCCTCCAAAGGAGACCAATTATTTCTGACGGGCCACACGCTGTGCCCCGCCCCCCTCACCATGATCCCGCCCCAGCGGGGGCTGTGGAAGGCGTTGGTGGGCACGGGGGCCCCGTCCTTCCCGCGAATGTAGAGGGGCGAGTGCAGCCGCTCAGGGATGTAGAGGAGGAAGTTGAGGACGGGGTACAGAGAAGCCGCGCTGGAACCTGCAAAGGAAGCCGGAGAGGTTGGGCTCACCTGTCCCAGGTGGAGGAAGGAGGCGCAGGTCAATTCCCTGGGATGCCCGAGGGGAAGAATGGCTGGCGAGGGCAGGAGGACAGTTGGACTCCGAAGGAGGAAGCGCCCCCCACCTGCCCCCTCCCCAATTCCCCGTTGAGTTGTGGGAGCCCCCCTCTGGGAGGGCTTTCAAGATCCAGGTGAGATAGACTACTCTCTGGCATGGCCTCAGGGAGCGTTCCTCAACCGTGGC